GAACAGCTACAGTGACAGAAGATACATCTTCATGATGAACCTGACCTATACTCAGAGCGGGAGTTACTCTAAATACCAACAGAGAGGGAAAGAGTCTTCAAATCAAGTATCAATGCTATCCGCTCTGTACACAGGGTACATAGGGACGGGCAACTTAGACATTGGCTACCTAAAAATGAGGGGGTAATAAAGGCATGAAGTGACTGACTTACAAGGTTTCAAGAGGGAGTTTAGTTTAGGAGTATGGGGGAAAAGAAAGAGTCCCACTGAATAGCTGTCATCTTGCCTGGAGATGGGTCTGGTGAAAGGAGATGGGGATAGGATTCATAAGCTTCAATAGTGAATAAATGTTATCATGACTAATCACGACTGTCACAATTGTAAAGGTGGAAGTTTTGTAACAAAAAAAGGGGAGTGGTTAATCTTGCAGTCCAGAAGCGGACGACCCTGCGACTATCAAGAGAGGAGCGCACAAACAGAATACGGGACTTTATCCGGGGAGGCAGCAGCACCAGTGATGGAGGGAGAGATGGGGGCCTGGAGAGGGGGTGCGGCTGAGGACTCTAGATTCATGGACTAAGAAGAGAAGGACTGAGAGCTGGTGGACAGGAGTCAACTTGCAGAATGTGCCCTTTGGAGATGTAAATTATTATATATGCTTGAGTGGTTTTTTTAAAGTGGATAGAGAGAAATATTGTTAACTGATGGTATATGGAGGGGATTATAATCAATGTAATGAAACAAGGTAGATGATTTGTTGAATGTTAAACTGATGATTTGCCCTGTAAACTTTCCCTCAATCCACAATAAAAATCTCAAATTAAAAAAAAAAAAAAAAAAGACAAAATTAATATTTTCAGATAAGTGAAAACTAATTCAATGTCAACCAACATGCATTACTCTGGGAAATGCTAAAAAGTTCTACCAGCTAAAGGGGTGCCAGAAAGAAAACTCAGAAAGAAGTAAAAACACGAGAAATGACATAAGTAATGTTGAGCTACTCTGTATTGTGGGGCTTCTAACACACACACATGGAGAAAACACACATGAAGAGTGAGGAGGGTGGTGGGAAATGGGCCTTTATGACAAGAAGCTCTAACATTATATATAAGATGGTACAATATGAACTCTAAGTGAACATTAAAAATTATGACGTACATTGAAATTCTGAGATCAACCACTAAAAATAATCAAAGATGTTTTCCTGAAAAACAAGGTTATTTATTAGGTCCTGTCGAATCCATTTCAATCCAAAGCGGCCCCATGTGAACTGCCTCCTAGGGTTTCTAAACTATGACCTTTCCAGAAAATTCTACAAAATCATTCAAGGAATCCAAAAGACAAGAAAAGAGGAACCTGCAAAGCAAAAAAACCCAGAAAGGACTAAACAAGTGGCACAGACCTAACTCAACAATCCAATTTTACATGAAACAGAGACGAACTAAACACTATTTAAAAGTCAGAAACGTTTAAGAGTTGATAACAAGGAAGGCTCACCTCCTATACGGAGTACTGGTGTGCTACTGTAGGATAAGCACTGGACTGCTAATCACAAGGTTGGTGGTTCAAACCCACCAGCTACTCCTTGGAAACCCTACAGGGTTGCTATGAGTCAGAAGTGACTCAATGGCACATAACAAACACCACCTCCTATGTGTCGTTTACCAACTCGATTAATCACATGACTACTTCCACTACCAATAGCTTCACCTTTCCAACAAAATATGAAGACACAGTTAAGTTGAAAGCATAAAGATAGAGAAAAAAAGCTTAACAAGCAAACAGCATGAGAAGGCTCGATGGCTATACAAGTATCAGATTAACTCGACTCTAAGAGAAATCTGGAGTGCTGGTGTGGCACTGTCGGATAAGCACTGGACTGCAAGGTCAGTTACTCAAACCCACCAGCTGCTCCTCAGAAATCCTACACAGGGAGTTGCTGAGTCAGAAGGCATTCAACAGTACTTAAACAACAACAAGCGACAGAGCATATCCAGAGAAAAAGACGAGCAGTTTAATGATAAGAAGGTGACTCCATCAGGAAAACACAAAAATCATCAAAGTATGTGTACCTACTTAAAAAGTTCCAAATATACAAAGCAAAACTGACAGAATTAAAGGGAGAAATTGACAAACCTACAACTAGAGAGATTTTAACATCTTTCTCTCAGCAATTTACAGAAATAAAATAGGTATTTACCACCTGGTAGTTGGTGGTTAAGTACCGAGAAATCGGTTCTGACTCGTAGTGACCCTGTACAGGGTTTGTGAGGCTGTAAATCTTTACAGGAGCAGAAAGCCTCATCTTTCTCTCATGGAACAGCTGGTAGTTTCGAACTGCTGACCTTGTGGTTCATAGCCCAATTCGTAACCACTATGCTACCAGATAGGTCTCAAAAAATGCTAAAGAAATGAAATGATACAGTGAATGTCCCCTGAACACAATGGCATTTAACTAAAAATCAGTAACAGTTTAAGTTATTGATGAAAACCTCAAATATTTGGCAATGAAACAAAATACTTCTAAATAGTTGTGAACCAAACCAGAAATTTCAAGGGAAATAAAAAATACATAAGCAATGATCATTAAAATAAAAGATATCAAAGTTTGTGAGATGTAGTTAGAGCCATGCTCAGAGGGAAGTTTATAGCCATTAAGAGCTCTGGTAGTGTAGTGGTTACGAATCGGGCTGCGATCCTCAAGGTCAGCGGTTAGAAACTACCAGCTGTTCCAAGGGAGAAAAGATGAGGCCTTCTGCTCCCGTAAAGATTTACAGCCTCAGAAACTCTGTACAGGGTCGCTATGAGTCGGAACTGACTCCAGGGCACATAACAACAAGTGCTTATATTTGAAAATAAAAAAGGTCTAAAATTCATAAAGTTTCACCCTTAGAAACTAGAACATTTGGAATAAACTAACCATAGAGTAAGTAGAAAGAAGGACGGAAGGAAGCAAAAAAGAGCAGAAATCAATGGTATGCAGGCACTATATAGGCGCATATATTTACACATGTTAAGTTCTGACTCTTAGTGACCTTCTACAGAGTTTCCGAGGAGCAGCTGGTAGGTTTGAACAGCCTACCTTGCGATTAGCAACCCTGTGCTTTTCCTAGAGCACCACACCAGGACCCCTATATTTGCATGTGTTAAGTGCCGTTGAGTCGGTTCCTGTATGAGGTTTCCAAAGAGCAGCTGGCATGTTTGAACCACTGACCTTGCAGTCCAGCGCCTTAACTCATGGCACCACACCAGGACTCCATATGTGCATATGGTTGAGTGCAAATATGGAGTTGCTGAGTGCCGTCGAGTCAATTCCGACCCATAACGACCCTGTATAGGGTTTCCAAGGAGCAGCTGTTGAGTTTGAACCGCCAACCTTGCAGTCAACAGCTTTGCAGCCTGGCGTGTTAAGCCACAGCACCACACCAGGACTCTATATTTGCATGTATCTGGACCAAATCAATTTATTTAACAGATTACTTCACTGGTATCAAAAGCAGCATTATTTACTTCATTAATTATGAAAGTTTCTTTTTTGCATGTGAAATAGGTGAGTCTAATGGGGTCATGACAAAAAAAATATTGAGGGATATTTTTGTGAACTGAGAACAGTTACAAAAGCAAAAATATTAGTGTTAAGATCTTTTTCAGAAAAACTGCAACTTTTCTTATAACTGTGTTATTATAGGTAAACTAAATCCTGTCAAAATGAAATACCATTCATCATGCAAAGTTAGTCATGTTCAAAAGAACTAAGCCTACAGAACTCAACTCGGCTTCCAAGTATGTAGCTGATACGAAGTCAGGGTAGGTGTTTATGGGCATGTGCATACAACATCTCAATGAGGAATTCCCCATAGAAAGGCAATCGATGGAAGCTGACTGCGAAGACAATGGATAAAATGGTGTTATATACTCAGGTGTAAAGGAAGGTGGCTCCCAGCAGGTCCTATAGAAGTGACCCAAGTGCTGGGTCCTTAGACATGTAAGTCAGAACCACTGCATCACTATTACCTAAAGGCTTCTCATTGGCAGAGGCGTTTCTGGACTGTCTCTGGTTTTCAGAACACTTTGGTCATTATTGCCAACTGTTCCTTCTATCTGAATCAATCTCATTAAGTAATTATTGGAAAGTGGTAAGTGTACCCTAGGTCAACCGCGTGTAGTATGGCTTCAAGGTTATTAGAGGTATTTACCTGTGTGTCCGGCCAGCTCACGGCTAACGCGTACATTTCCTTCACGAGTTTTAAGATTGTAAATGGAGCAGATGTTATCAAGGCCACCACAAGCCACGTAATTCCCAGAAGGGGCATATGCACAGGTCATGACCCAAGAGGAGCGCAGAGGAATGGCGTGGACCTAGGGAACAGGTGCACAGGTGGTGCAAATTGGTCAGGCCTCAGATTATTAAACTCTAATGCTATCATTTTTATCTTGAGTTAAAACTTGTTTTCCATAGGAGATTAAGGGAGCAAAAAAAAGTAGGACATGGTTCTGAGAAACGCTTATACATATGACCAGTCAGGTGACAGGAAAATTGAATTAAAATCCAGCGCAGCAAATGGAAAGAGCATTTAAGTTTTCTTCAAGCTATACCTTGAGGTTAGGTAGACATAGACACAAAGGCAGCCCTGTCTCCTTATCAAAACTGAATAAAAGACACTTCAGTGGGCAATCACGATGGCTACACATTAATTAAAAACACAAAGTATTTTTACTGAAGCAACCAAACTGGACATCACACGTCTGTGTAAGTCCCGCAACCTTTCACATGCATTCAGTCTTCTCTAGTAAAATAAAACTGAATTCGATCTTGGAACTTTTTCATTTAATACAATTAATTTTGGATTACAATTAAAATAATCTGACAATGATACTTCAAATTATAATGCCTCTCAGATTATCTTTTGTAACATTAATAACTAAAGAATAAAATATGAAATTTCCTAGATTGAGCTTAGAACTGGAATCCAAGTCTCCCAGGGACATGAGGAGGTACTCACCTATTTGCTTTGTCAAGAGATGACACACCACGGCAGAACTGTACCAAGCCCACCAGATGAGACAGTAATGTCTGCTAGTCACATGATCTGGCTTCCACCTCACCCCCATGACTTTATTACTAAAAACTCGAGTTTACTCTGATTTTCCCCTCCCTACTCCATGCATATTGTCAGGAGGGACCAGTCGCTGGAGAAGGATATCATGTTTGATAAAGTGGAGGGTCAAAGAAAAAGAGGAAGACCCCCAACGAGATGGACTGGCCAAGTGGCAGCATCAATAGACTCAAGCGTGGCAACAGTAGTGTGGTTGGCCCAGGATCGAGCAGTGTTTCATTCTGCTGTGCATAAGGTCGCTATGAGTCAGTACCAACTCGATGGCACCTAATAACAACAACAACAACCCCAAGCATATGCTGGAAGAAGTATGAACAAAGAGTTCAGAAATTCCACCATGTCCGGATCCCTAAAGATGGGACGGTGCAGTCTCTTACCTTGTTGGTGGTGTAACTATCCCAGATGATAAGTTTGCCATCTTGCGAGGCACTAACTAGCAGCCTGGAGAGAAAGAGAAAAAGAAACACCTCAGCAGGATAGCAACACAAAATGCTACAAAGGCAACAAACGAAAGCTAGAATTCCAGAGACTCCTAATGTATGCTTCAGTGTTTCATCTGCTTAAGATAAAGCACACTTATTTTTAAGCAAAAATAACTCTGTTTAATATGTTAAATCAACTTGTAAGCTGACAGAAAATATTCTCATAGATAACAGTACACACTTAAAGAGTACTCGGCTCCAAAGGCAACTTCAATACCCAGGGTCACTCCCTGTTGTCAGTCAAGATGGGTGACTTCTTCCCATAACTGCTTCTTTTCTTTACAAGTAAAATTTGAGACACATCAATCTTTCAAGACACAGATGACCTGCCCTGTAAAATTCCACTCAATCCACAATTAAAAACCTTAAAAAAAAAAAAAGAATCGTGCAGGGGAAGGTAGATTCCCCACTGAATAGTTTTCATCTTGTCTAGATGGGTCTGGTTAAAAGAGATGGAGCTAAGATTCTTATGATTCAATAGTAATTGTTACTATAACTAATTAAAACTGTCTCAATTGTAATGTAACAAAAACGGAGGAGTTGATAATCTTAGTCTGGAAAGAGAGGACCCTAGGACCATCAAGGGAGAAGAGCACAAGTGGAATGCGGGACCCTATCCAGAGAAGCAGCAACACCAGAGATGGAGGCAGAGATGAGGACATGGAGAGAGAGGGCAGCTGAGGACTCTGGACTCATGGAAAGAGAGGCACTGAAAGCTGGTGGCCAGGAGGCAGGCTTGCAGAATATGCCCTTTGGTTGTTTACATTACTATATATTCCTAAGTGTTTTTGCGTACACAGCCCCACCCCCCAAATTTAAAAAAACAAACAGTGGAAATGGAAGCAAATACTGTTGAATGATGATGCACGGAGGAGATTGTAATCACTGCAATGAAACGATGGTGTAAAGCCAATGTTCTTTCATGCAAATTATCACTCAGTTCAAAATAAAAAGTCATGGAACATAAAAAAAAAAAAAAAAAATCATTGACTTTGAAGTATATTCTAAATGCATTTAACATTTTAAATCAGTAGGCAGATCTTAAAATCTCTACCTCAGTTAAACAAATAGATTTCAAACATTTAAAGTCATTTTCCATTTGATTTTAAGTTATGTTGCCATCCTTTGTTCTATTTCTCAAACTAAAAAACTGAAAATGAATATAACTGCTATATACATCTAGCTGATGTAGACTTTCATTTATCTTTACCCTTTGCATGTATAAAGTGCTTTAGAAATCAGTAAATGCAAAGAAGAGTATTAAACATGGATCAAAGTGAGGTCTTTTTTCATGTTATTTTTTTCCCTACTCTTTAGAAAAACTAAAGCACTGTAATAAATAGACTCAAAAAGTTGACTATAAAATTTCACAGTAAAGCAATACAATACTGTAAGTAATTTTATGAATTAAATATATAAAGTATAGCTGCCATAGATGAAAATACTTCCCCATGTGTATTTAAACATATTGACATGTTATATTAATACTCAATTTAAAATGATTTTTATGTCAATTCAAAGATGATTTCATTCAAAGATTATTTTATGATCTCTGTGTTGGAGTATCTCTATTCTTCTAAATCCCATTCGTGAGGGGAAAAATTAACTTGTTTCATGAAATATATTGAATTACAGTCTCTAATAAATATAATGTGACCTGAAAAAAAACCAGACATAGATGGATATGAAGGAATAGTATGATTCGAAATATTCCAAATTCAAAAGACAGTCCTTTCTCCACACTCCCCCCAAAATGTACATTTCAGAGATGGAGCTATAAGAGGAATCTAGGACCCCTAAAGACATAAGGAGGTCTCCTGCTGCCTTGTCAAGACACGATAAACTAGAGCAGAACAGGCTGGGCCACCAGAAGACTAGCACCACACCATCATTTTGCATCCCAATGACTGGGCAGCCATGCTAAGTTTGGAATCTGAGCTGCAAAGAGCTGTCTTTATGTGCAGAATTAAGGCTCTGATCATGAACTGGAAGTAAAACTCATTCTAGTCACTTTCATAACTTTGATGCTTTCGGTCAAACTTGACATTCTGATGCACCAAGCACAAGCTTCCTTTAAGAGATATCAACAATGAGACTGGCATGGAATAAAAATCTTGTCAACACTAATTACACAACTCAGTGTGCAGCTGCAACTTCTGAAAACAAGTTTCTGCATCTAGGTTCAAGGATACCTGTGTTTCCATGCATTTTTTCTGGGTTCTACCTGTGTCACTTCTGACTGTGAGTTGAGTCTCAGACTCATAAGCTCATCCTCCTAGGCTGAGAGGGTCGGGAAGGTCACTTTCAGACATACCCTCTGGCTAAACAGCCTTTATACTTGCTGACTCGTGAGGGGGTTAAAGAAAGTGCTAAGCTGCCTATTTAGCCTTCTGGAAGATGAGAGAAAACTTGCCTCTTAATCCCAGGTCAGGTAACTCTAAGAACTGGGTCTGCTTTGCCTCCTAGAGCTTTTACTGACATGCTCATCCGTGATCAGAACAGAGACGAGTTAAGAGTAAGTCCGAAAGGCTCAAGAACATTGAAGTGCCTTTGCATTTTACCTCCAAGGCTAGTTTGGTTTAGATGTATTTCACCCCTTTTATACCACCAGACTTAATCAGATGAGAGAAGACCTTCAGAAAGGGGAAAGAAACTTTAGCTTTAGTTCATGTGACTGACAAGAGGACCTCAAATGCTAAAAAAAATATAATCCAACTATGCAGAAATGAACGTACTATAAATATACTGGAGTTGTTAAGTGACACTGAATCGGTTCCGATTCATAGAAACATTGCGTAGGGTGTAGGAGGCTATACATCTTTGTGGAGCAAAAAGCCCTATCTTTCTTCTGTGGAGCGGCTGGTAGGCTCAAACCACCGACTTGTTGAAGCACGGAGTCACCGTGCTTCCCAATATACTGGTGAGCATATTACAAAGGTGGATTCTAAAAAGTTATGAAAAATGGAATGAAAAGATAACGGAATTTTTCCATGAACTTTTTGAAGCCCCTTCGTATACATTTGCACATACATGTATATATAAATCTAATATGTAGTTTTGAACGAAAAACTGATAATCACCCAACTATTTGAAAGCACCCATATATTATATATTTATGGATGTATAATTTGAGTTATTAAAAAAATTTTTTTTTACACATCATCCTTTGTTTATGAAATTAAAGCAAATTAAAAAACAAAACATATCTGCTTTGTACTCAAAGAGGCTAATGACTGGGTATCAGAAGGTCTCTCTGTCTTTTAAAAACAGCGTCTTACTGTGTTTTTGATGAAGGATCACACAGCAGTTTAGGTTACCATTCAATAATTCCTACACAGGTTTTTCACCGAGATTGCTATATTCTTCACAGTGCTCATTAGTTCCACTCTGGTTGTTCCCTTTACTTTCATCTACTTTCCCCGTCTCTTTACACTTCTCATCTTTGTCTCATACAGGTGATTTTTAAAAGGAGCACAGTACTCATAGGTGGCACAATGTTATTATTTAGTTACCACGGTAACCTCAGGGGTTAGTTTCAAAATTCAAGGTCTGGAGAGTTATGTAAGGACAAGTCTCAGGGAGCCCTTCAATCTCAGTCAGTCCAGAAGGCCTGTTTTTGTTGTGTTCTAATTTGAGGTTCTGTTCCACATGTTTTCACATTGTATAAGGGTTCATCTATTGTGGCCCTTATTAGAATGGCCGGTTGTGGGAGTTGGGAATCATCTAGTTCTCGGTCAGCATAGATGAGGCTGGTTGTGTAGACTATTTGTACCGTACACTAGTTTCCTTTTTAAAAAAAAAAAAATCAAAAGTTTCTTACTGACTTTGCCTTCAAACAAGTGGAAACAAGGAGAAAAGGGGAGGGGACTCATTAAGCAGTGAAGTCATTTCTACAACATTTCGTTTATATACAAAACTAAGCACACAAGCCAATGCATAAGGAAGACTGCAGAAGAACTGATGCATTTGAGTTATGGTGTTCAAGGAGAATATTGAAAGTTCCATGGGCTACCAAATGAACCAACAGATCTGTTTTGGAAGAAGTGCAGCCAGAATGCTCCTTGGAGGATAGGATGGCCAAATTTCATCTCTCATATTTTAGATATATTGTGTCAGGAGGGACTAGTCGCTGGAGAAGGATATCATGTTTGGTAAGGTGGAGGGTCAGAAAAAGAGGAAGACCCCCAGCAAGATGGATTGGCAAAGTGGAAGCATCAATGGGCTCAAGCATGGCAACAATTGTGAGGTTGGCCCAGGACAAGGCAGTATTTCATTCTGTTGTGCATAGGGTCACTATGAGTCAGTACCAACTTGATGGCACCTAACAACAACAATAACAACAAGCATACAAGCATCCTAGAAAGAGGACGGACAGATGGGCAGTGGGGATACTATTAAAAAAATTTATGTGGTGGTGGTGGTGATGTGCTGTGAAGTTGGTTCTGACTCAAAGCAATCCAGTACAGAGTTTCTGAGGCTGTAAGCCGTTACGTGAGCAGAAAGCATCTTTCTCCCACAAAACAGCTGGTAGTTTGACCCTGAGGTTAGCAACCCGATTCGTAACCACTATGCAACCAGACCTCCTTAAATATATAGGCCCGGTCAAATGTGAGTGCTGGGGGACTAGGTCTACTTCAAACCAAGAGGAATCAGAAGACCAAAAGCAGTTTAAACTGTCAGGGGTGGAGGGAGAAGGGTCCAGGTCTAGCAGGAAGGTGGAAGGAGCTCCTAGCAGGCAGGTCTGGGGCTGCTAGATGCTCCAGGAAGGGAGGGGGCTGGCTTCAGAAGTCTCACAAGGGCTTGTGTTTCAGGGAGATGATAGCACTGCCCCTCAGCTTCTCTGCCAGGATCAGAAGTCCTTAGCCTACTCCCAGCAGTCTGCTTGTAATTCATGCTTGAGTCCTGTCAGCTTCTTCTTGATGGCATCCTTGGAGCTAAATAGATTTAGCCCCACATCATCAGCCCTTCTCTAGGACGATGTTCTTGTCCTCACTCAGACACAAGAGCACAGCTTTCCTGCTGTACTTCTCCTCTGACAACGATGACTGGTGCACCTTCATGTCAGTGAACACCTTGATTACACCATTACAGACAGCCACACCAGAGGTCATGCTTCGGGAAGCGAAAAGCATATGCAGAAAGAGCCACTACTCAGCTGCTGCCAGGATCCAACTGAACCACTAGTTTCTTCTCTGAGCCTTTGGTTTCCTTCATTCTCTTTAGTTCAGAACAGTACCGACCAATAGCAGTGATTTAGATGGCAGCAGAGGGTCTCTTAATACCATTCATGTTTTTGTTTTCTTTTGCTTGTGATGCTAAAAGAGGACTTCTGTATATACACGGACACTATGAAAGGTTAACTGTCCAGAGTGAAGACATAAAGCATCTACACCACCCTAGCCAAGAACACAACTAACATGATACTTACCAGCCTCCTGAGCAGCCCCTTCCTGCCAAGGTAACCACTACCCTGAACTCTGACCTGCTTGCCTGCTTCCTGGCCTTTCAGAACATTTAAGACTCAGATTGAACATAAAACCATACACAAAATAGCCACACACACAAAACCCACTAATCCTCCTGCCTCGCCTGAAGCATGCCATAGTTCTGATGCTCTGGCCACATACACTTTACTTAGTTCCTGAAACAACCCAGCTCTTCTTAGCTGAGAGCACTGACCACCCTCTTTAAGTCAGCTGGGTATAAGGCCATCCCTACCAACTGAGCTGGAGTCTGGCCTGCCAAATGAGAGCAATTTGCTTGGGTAGCCAAGGACGTGCCTGGGCTCAGATCTTGCCTGAATGGAACTGTGTCTAATTAAGATATTGATGACACCACACATGGGAGTCCAAATCCAAAGTCCAACACACAATTTGGTTATCTTCTACTTCTGATAATATATTTCAAAGTAGATTGAGTACTGAGGACATTTTGTTTCTTTTCTGACTACTGCCATCATTAAAATGATCTAAGCTAGCCCTCATTTGCATATGGAATTGTATGGGATACTGTATAGAACAAGCTAAAGATAGAATCTTTTGTTCTCTAGTTGTTTACACTCCAATGCAGACAATTTCATGAACAAAGACAAAGCCAAGCAAAAATTCCACTCTGGTAAACACGAAAAAATACTACTGAAGGAAAGAAAGGCATATTAAGAATAGTGTATGCTAAGTGTTTGAAAAGAGTTAGCTACAGTCACATAGTGTTTTATTGAATTATCTGACTCAACTTTATAAATTTTCTTTTATGATGACAACAATCATTCTGTTTTTCCCACATGCATCATGCCCGATCCAGTCCCCAGGTACCTGGAATCTGTGCCCCAGTGCATGGCATAAATCTTGGCCAGGTGCCCCCTCAGCGTTCTCCTGGTTCGCATCTGGATTCGTCCCACAGGGTCGATGTTGTTTGTGATCTTAAAAAGGAAGGTTCTGCATACTCAGTCTGTAGTGAAGTGAATCAACACCCCAGGGCTCCTGTCTTCCTCCCCTCATCCCTATGATTCAGGCCATGCCCCTCAGCCACAGGCCCCACACATCCCTTGCTCCAGGATCTGGGGCGACTTGAGGATTCCAACTCTTCATCTGACCCACCATGCTTAACTGCTGTCCAACACCAACATGTTACCTGCTACTCTGAACCTGACCTCTGCTGTGCTCTAGTATCACGACCCCTGTTCCCTTTGCACAGCCTGTGCTCCCCCACCCCCCACCCCCAGGCATCCTCCTCTTGACAGCTTCTGCAACTGCAATACTACCACTCAAGGCATCAAACTGGATGCAGATAGTTGTGGATTTACCATGACGTATCAGAAAACCAGACATTAATTATTTTAGTTTCACAAATGGAATACATGTGTCACAATAGCAAAACTAAACCTATGGCCATCAAAGTCAATTCGAGACCCTGTACAGGATTTCCTGAGACTGTAAATCTTTATGGTAGCAGAAAGTTCCATGTTTCTCCTGAAGAGCAGCTGGTGAGTTCGAGTTTCCAACCTTCTGGTTAGCAATCTAGTTAGTACTTATCCTACAGTGCCACCAGGGTTTTAAAGTTTATCTGAGAATTCAGGTATTTCTATGCAATATAAGTACTCCTGGTGTTGCGCTGCGGGTTAATGTGCTAGGCTACAAGGTTGGTTTGAACTGCAAGGATGGCGGTTGAAGCTCACCAGGAATGCCTCAGAAACCCTATACAGGATCACTATGAGTTGGGACCGATTCGACGGCACTTAACAACAACAAATACAATATAATGTTCTTTAGTTTACTGTTTGTTGTTGCTAATACAAGACCAGTGGTTACAGCACGGAGTCACTGTTTAGCCCCAATTAAAACACATCCCTTTAAAGCACTGTTATTAAGTGCCATCAAATCAGTTCTAAGTCACAGTGATCCTGTATCGGGTTTTCAAGGAGCAGCTGGTGGGTTTGAACTGCCAACCATGTGGTTTACAGTCCAGTGCTTACCCTATAGTGCCACGCCAGGGCAATGTAAAAAAAAATGAATCATTTGCAGTAGAACTTACTCTACCCACATATTTCTATTCAATTGTTTGGCTTTAGAAATCAAAATTCTGGAATAGGCTTTGTGGAAGTTACAGCTTCTAAATCTTATTTTAAGACAATAACATTATTTTTAAATTCTTATCGCCACTATAGAAAAAATATGAATTGAAGTGTTGGAGAGGTGCTTTTTTTTCAGGTATTTCTTGTCTGGTAGCGTAGTGGTTACGAATCGGGCTGCAAACCTTAAGGTCAGCGGTTGGAAACTACCAGCTGCTCCGCGGGAGAAAGATGAGGCTTTCTACTCCTGTAAAGATTTACACCCTCGGAAACCCTGTACAGGGTCGCTATGGGTCGGAACCGACTCGACGGCACTTAACAACAACAACAACAAGTATCAGACAGGGAATCTTTAAGTAGTGGGCTCGGGCTGTCCCACCTCACTACACAGAATCAGAGCTGGTACAGAGTTCATTCTAGAGGTCCTTGGTGTGAGAGCTGCTAGGCACTGACCTGAGCGCCATACAGATGGCTCTAGTTGATTAAAGGGGCTCTTACCTGAGAAAGAGTCGCATCTGCACATGCTTTTCTTGCATCCTAGGAAGTGACAACCACAAAGAGCAATCAGTGATACTTCAGACACATCTGACTCTAAGCCTTTACACCAAGGTTACAGGCAGAGCCTCCATAGAGCAAAAATGGAATGCAAAAGGATGGGGTGTGTTTTCCTTCTCTCTCCCCTAGTATCATATTGTCCACTGCAGTCATTGGACTACTGAGATAATACTTCATCTAGGTTCTGGACCACATCAAATATAGAGAACTGTGTGACCATCTCTACATATACTTGAGATTAGCAAATTGCCTTCCCTAGCACTAGGACACTCCTGAGAACCGAGAGGATGATTCTGGAAGGCTGGCACAACAAGTAGAACCCGGTGCTGCCACCTCCTCTTCCTGTCTAGCAGCCTTGCTTGTACACAGACCCTGCCCATGCCTCCCACTTAGTCTTTAGAGTTGTCCATGTGAAGTCAAAAGGGGCAGGGTCCAAGAAAAAAGGCCAAAAAAACCCCATCAATGTCCAGTCCAAAGAGTTTGCCCTCTAGACTTCATTTTCAAGCACATAATCTTTTTTTTTCTGAATTCTATGGAAAAGGTCAAGGGATTTGGAGTCAGATAATCAAATTCAGATAAGACTTTGCAGACTATGCTTCATCAACTATGGAGATATACTAATCAAGTTTTTCAAATGCTACTAAGTAAACAAAGTTACTAAACCATGAATTTTGAAATCTCATTTCTCCTATGGAATAGCTGGTACTTTCGAACTGTGACCTTGAGGTTAGCAGCCCAACTGATATCCACTACACTATTAGAGCTACGATATGCATATATACTTCATAAATAAAAAATCAGACATTGGGAAAAAAGGTTCAAAATTTGGGTGTGGACAGGTAACAAATTCATAAAATTTTCAAAGGAAATCTTTGAAAAATGATGACAATTTCCAATGGAAAACAAAAAAAAAGCATTTCCACTTTTTGAGCCCCTACTTCCAAAAGTCCAACTGGCACCTATGTGTATCAGGCATCCATGCTGGAATGCAAGTAAGGGAGGCATTCCTAAGAGACAAGCTTTAGGAGCAAACAGCCTCACTGTAACAATGATTTATTTGATGAAGTCAGTGGGAATACTTATCAGTGGAGAAGGTATAAATATACTCAGAGATGACTATTGTAAGTAGAACAAAGATCTAGACCACATCTTAATTGTACTATTATTAGAAGTCATTCTGCTTACAAATGAAAAACAAAGAAATGATTTAATCAAGTATTTCTATGCCAGCAGCTAAGGAGGAAGACTGAAATCTTTTATAAATTTTTAGATTAATTCCTATTTCAACCCAGGAAGGTAATGTACAAAAGATATGTTATTTAGTGCAAAAGCATCTATACTGTTTGTGATGAGAAATGTCACCATATGCAGAAGTTTGCCTTTTCTGTCTACTTAAACCAGAGGACATACATACAAGTCATCAGTCAGATTTGGTCAATTCCTTACTCTGTCTGGGTATGTTTCACACACAGAACAACGCACAGAGAACTCCTGGCTCTGCTCATAGTCCCTAGTGACAACATTTGGATCAAACATCACAATGTAGCCAGCCTGCCACACTGGTGAGATAGCTTTGCAAACACATGGGGTAGGGCTGGGGGAGATGGGACATAACACTTTGTCTTAAAAACTATTATTAAGTGTGTACAATGATACATTTTAAGGTATTTGATTTTCCCATGTTCAGCCTGTTTTTCTTTGCGCACCTTTGTTTCCTCACAAATAGAAGCAAGAGGAGATGGTCCTTAAGAGACTTTTCAGCTTTAAAACAATTGTAAGAAAGAAATAACTTCTATTAGAATTACCTAACACCTCTTGTTTGTTTCTGCACTTTCTGCTTTCTTTAACAGGCATGTATTCCCCTTTGGTAACCAGAAAAAAAAAAAAAGCTGTTTTTTCTTCTTTTAAAAGTAATTGTTGATTGTTTGCCCTCTTCATCTGGTGTAATGGAGTGCCTGTATTGTGCAAAAGAGTGGTACCTCGCACAGCACTTTGCAGACACAAAGGCTATAAAAATGTGTGCAGAGGAGAGTGCTCCTCACTTCTGTGTGAAGCTCAACTGCTTTCCTAGCGAATGGTCTAGAACGGCACTGCCCCAAATGGCAGCCACAAGGGGCCACACTGAGCACTGGAGATGCATCTCGTAAAAACAACTGTACCAGTAAGCCTAAATAAACCACGAAAACAAAACAAAACAAAACAAAAAAAAACTCTAAAAACTCTGCCACAGAGTCAATGAAGACTCATAGCAATGCTAATACATGGTTTCATGGGAGCATACAGCCTCATATGCATCCTGTTGAGTGGCTAGTGGGTTTGAGCCCCCAACGTAGAAGTTAGCAGTTCAATGCCTAGCTTTCAGTGTCACCAGGAGTCCTCAAACATGAAATATACACTGAATTTTATAAACTTAGAATGAAAAAAATGAACACCAATTTTCCCAGTGAAAATGTATTAATCATGTTAAAGTGGTAATACTGTAGATATGCTATTTAAGACAAAATTTATTAAAATTCATTTAATCAATTGCTTTTCACACTTCAATGTAGTCACATGGATGGATGTGTGAGGTGGGATATGTGGCCAGATGGTGGGACAGGACTTTCCAGTGTGGTGGTTCCACCACAGTTCTCTCTTCGAGAAAACCTGATGTTGTAAAATGTTCAATGCCAACCATTATTTTCATTTAAAATCTATTATTTCTTTCACACATGCCACACAAACTTTATTTACTTGTTATGAATATACCTGAATCCACTCTTTATGAACAATAATTTATAGTTGTCAGAACAACAGAATTTCTTAAAATATGTACCAGCTAAGCTAATAATTTAGGGTAAACTTAAAAATTAGTAACTACAAGTACATGTTTAATACAGTTTCCTAGCCTTTCTAAATCCTAACTTCTGTACTTTTAAAACTTGCTTAGAAAAGAGATGAAAAAATAAAATCTCCAAAGCAGATGGTACGCACCTATCTACCCTCTAGCCACTGGCATTCGACAAAATGTATTAACTTGGGTGAAGGTGAAGGCAAGATAAGGCAATAAGAAGTTTGGCAAAAAAAAGATGGGAGGCAGGGGAAGACACAGGGAGGAGTGCAAGAATTAAAGGCAACAGAGGTAAACACTAGTAAGGTAAACACATCGCAAATAATCAACCACCTGAGATCAAAAGGACAGCATTTACCCAAGGACAAAGTTAAGAAGGGTTAGAAAAGGCGGAGGAATGGAAACAGGAAGCACAGGGATGAAATGGGATAAGTGATGTTACACTGAGGACTTTGCAATCAATGAGATGAAACAAAATATTTATGAATTGTTGAATGGAAAACATTATGTACTCTGTAAACCATTCAACCAATTCACAATTAAATAATAATTTTAAAAAGTAGGTGGTAAACAGCTGAGAGTATTTTGAATTAAAAACAAAAAACCCACCCCAAAACACACTACTACTAAGGATTGACATACCAGTTTCGATTTATTTACCAAAACCACTACTGCTTCAAAATGGACTGTCTAAAATGGGTGGAGAACGAACATCTGGCTCACGGGCCGTGTAAAACTCGTGAAATCTTTTGGCCCGGCCCTGCCAAGGCAACCACAGTTCCAGTCATCATATTAAGGGTGAGTTAATTACATGTTTGACCAACTTTAGCAGGCTAATTTTTTAAGTTGATAATTTTGTATGGCCTGTGAATGATATTATAAATTTTGGCAGAAAAAAGGTTCCCCAACCCTGGTCTAACTTATATCATGCAAAATCTTAAAGAGAATACTTTTTGGTTTCATTTAAATTACACTTCAAGAAATTGTTTTATATAATACCATGTATTTTACTAATTCTGTGAGTGTGTATACATATAACCAGTCATATTAAGCAAGTCTGATCTGAGCAAATCTTAAAAAAAAAAAAAATTTTTTTTTAAAGTTAAAAGTGTTCTTTATTTTAATTAAGGTATAGCTAATGTTTTAAATGTTAAGATTAGAAATTCTTACAATTAAAGGTTATTTTCTCTTTCCTCTTTGATTTTCAGTTTAATTCTATTATCTTTTCTCGAAGTTCACAAAAATCTTGGCTACAATGAACATGGTGTTTCTGTCGCCAACTACCATTAGGCTTTTTGAACATAACTGGCCTTTGAAGGTGAAATAATTAGGCTTCATCTTTACAGTCGATTCAAAAACCAATCTGTTGTTTGGGCATGTAGCAGGTGCTCTCAACTTCCCACCAAGTGACGCTCTGAAGGACAGCATCAGGTAACAAGAGATGAAAGTAAGAAAGCAGGGAGAGTATGCTCCTTTGTTGAATGGACAAAAATCTCTCTGGCTATACGGAGGAGCTGACTTCTCCTGGTTACATCCACCTTTTGGCTCTTCCTCTTCCTACCAACAGTCTGAATACTTATATTAAAGGGCTTCTATAAAATTGTCATTAAAAACACTGCCTAACAAAACTGAAAGAACAGAATTAATATCTTTTAGAAGTAAATCTTTTGAAGTTCAGGGGCCTTATATTGCAACACTGTACATCAGTCGCAGGTTGGAATTTAATTTTTGAGAATTCTGCGAATGTTATCCTTTGTACACTGCAGTCTAACATTGTATCTTCAATGAAAGTTATTGAAAGTTTTAGAGTCCAAAAACCACTCCTAAGGAACACCGCCTTTCAAAATCTGGTATACCTTAGATATTTTATTATTGTTGCAAAAACTCCTCTTTAACAAGTTTCTTTCCCTCAACTTAATATTCACAACATCACACCCAAAGTACAGTGACCAAAACAACGTCAAAAATGAATTCCCATGGTTAAGAATTGAAGGTACAAATAGATATTGTGTAACTTGTACAGTAAGTTTTAATGTACATTCATTCAATAAGGTGGAATAAACTAGAAAATAAAAGCCTCAAAACCATGCACTAAGTCATTTCTAAAACAGATGGCACCTGACATATAATGAATGAAACACAACACATATGTAGCTACGTACTCTAATTTGGTTTTTAAGCTGTTCAGCCTCCTGCCGTAGCTGGTCAAGTTCACTCATCTTCTGATCTTAGTGCTCTTCAATGTCAATGCAAAGAATCTGGGATCTGAAACACAAAATATAATAAGCTGTTGAGTAATTAGACAAAGCAGATTATAAAAACAAATTGAATTTTTTTTTGGAACTTTTAATTGTGAATTGAGTGAAGGTTTACTAAAAGATCATCAGTTTTACATGGAAAACCAAAGACTTCCGTTTCATCTCAATGACTGCAATCCCCTCCATGTAGCAATGGCTATCTCACTTCCTACCTGCGCTTATTTCCACTCCACCATCCTCCTTCCCAACTTTGTCCTCAGGTAAATGCAGTCCTTCTGATCTTGAGTTGCTGATACTAGTGTTGTTGTCCCCACTATATACCTATCTACTGCTTGGTTGCAAATTGGGTCATCAGGGTGAGTTCCATTCCATTCCTTTGAAGGGAGGTCGAGGACCATAGTCTTGGGTTCCTCAGTCTCATTCTAACCAGTAAGCCCAGTCTTTTTTATAATTTTTGAGTTTTGTTCTGGATTTTCTCCCACTCTAACCGGGACCTTCTAATGAGATCCCTTTTAGAGTAGTTATAGTGGTAGCCGGTCATCATCTAGTTCTTATGGTCTCAGAGTCATGGAGACTGATGTTCATGTGTTCCAATGGATTAGCTGATTCCAAACATCCTCAATTTTCATCACTCTTCTTTCTTTTGTACATGGAGAGACCAATAGTTGTACTTGAGATGACTGCTCATGAACTTTTTTTTGCCGACTGTAGGAACCACCCTACATCCCAGAATACTTTTAAGACTGGTGTAGCGCTGTGGCATAATGCGCCAGACTGCAAGGTCAGTTTGAACCACAAGGTTGGTGTTTCAAGCTCACCAGATGCTCCTCAGAAACCCTATACAAGGCCACTGTGGGTCGGAACCGACTCAAAGACACTTAACAATTGTTTATGCAGTTAAAGACACACTGATTGAGCCATAGAAGTGTTTGTGTGCCTGGCCATAGTTCACTCGGCAGCACTTCCTGACTAGGAAGCAGCTGGAACACTACTAGGCAGAGGCAGGACCCAGAATGGGAAGAATGGTACCTCTTAGGGGCCTGAGAGGGAGTAGTGGGATTCACTACTTGGAGGTGAGCAGAGAGGTCAAGAGGGTAGGTTTAAGTCAGGACCCAGGGGCAACATTTCCTCAGATGAGATAAGCTCCAAGATGGGGTTTCCAGGAAAAAAAAGCTGGGAATGGGGAGCAGCACTGTGGAGGGAGCAGAAGGTCTGTCACCCAGGTATTGTTGGAAGAAGAGCTGACCGAGTGGCCCTGGAAACTGTTATGTAATCTGGTAACTGGGTCTTTCTGCATGACAGTTGGAGGTAGTATGCTTTAGGGGAAGTCATGCACCATAGCAGCCAGCATCAGACATGGGAACCTGGGTTCTGCGAGGGTGACCACAGTAGGCAAAGAAATTACCTGTCTTCCACAGCAGGATGAGTCAGGAAAGCTCCCCTATCAGGGACCTAAATATTGACGCTCTCTTACTTAGTCAGGAACAACTTCAAGGGAGGGTAAGGAGTTTTCTATCTAAACCCACTTTTCACGTCTCCCAGGAGTTAGTTACCCCTTCATTCACCCACTTCTCCCAGTTTTTCTCACAAGGCATTTGTTATAGGGTTGCTGAGGGGAGGAGAGGACTAGGAAGTGGCTCTGATGGTGGCACCCAATCTACAGGGTTAGGAGTCAGAGTGGAGGTGGTCAGGGATAGTGGCTAGAGGAGCACGGCCAGGCCAATGGGTAGTGTGACCAGGAAGAAGATAGCTGAGAGTTGCTGCCACTGCAGGGCTGCTGAGAGCACAGTGCTGACCACCAGTGAGCAGGACACAACAAAGAGATGTGGACTGCTGCTGCTATGCTTCACGACAACTGACATGAGCAGTCCACTTAGGGCCTGACTCAGCACCACAAGTGCCGCCCATGCTGAGATGCTCTCCAGAAGTCCTGGGCCAGAACCACTGCCCACATATAGACCTATGTTCAGGAACACACAAGAAGTATAGAAGAAGAGGTTCTGAAGTGTCGGGGTAACTCTGTGTATAAAGACAGTAAGCCTGAAATGAGGCTGTACAGGACAAGGAGCAGCAGGGACATGGGGCTGGCAGCAGCCGCTAGAAGGGGTCCAGAAAAGGTGTTCTGGAGGTCTTGGAGGCCACCAGCTGCATAAGCAGCCCCCTCTGCCACCATCATCAGCAGTACTAACTAACCCTTGGTATGTGGAGAGGTGGTGCCAGAGATTAGATGACAAGGATTCTCTCCCCAAGCTTAGGACTTTGGCATTTCTCAAGAACCAGCTGGAGTACTTGCAGTGGTGTGTAGAAGACGACATGAACAGTGGCTGGCCCAGGATGGCTCACTCTATCCTCTCTGTTCTTCAAGGCCTTCCTGGCAGGCTATGTGGTACCCAAATTAAGGGAATGAGAGGTATTGGGCTTTGCTGTGGGCACTTGCACTGGTCTCTATGCAGCCCAGGCATATGCTGTGCTCACTGTAGAGAAGACATTGAGAGACTATCTGTGGTCACTATGCAAGGGATCCAACTAGCTCTGGATCCCAGGGGGAAGGAGAGCAGGAGCAACTGGGTACCCCAGACGCCATACCTCACTTCCCTGGCTGTCAGCCATTTGCTGTGTCCATCTTTCCTGCCTCCTTGATTCTCTTCCTGCAGAGGGTGGACAGAGGCTGGTCAGCTTGCACTGTGGATTCTTTCTTCCCTCCCTGACCCCAAAGGACTGGCTCCAAGACTGTGGCTATGAGTCAGAACCAAGTCTATGTCACTTAGCAACAACAGGGTTAGATTAATAAAATATAATTGCAAGTATTCATCTGGCTTTGTAAAATATGACAGTGTCTAACTTGCTACCAAAAATCTGGTCGTTGCTGTAGTGCCATCAAGTCAGTACCGATTCAGAGAGACCCTGGATAGGACTTCCAAGTATCAGCTGGTGGGTTTGAGTCACCAATCTGACAGTTAGCAGTCCAGTGCTTATCCTAAAGAGTGGTCCCATAAACTGTTATGTAATTTGTGGTAACTGGGTCTATCTTATTGTTAGTGTTAAGTGCTACGACCAAGTCGGTTTTGGCTCATAGCGACCCTGCATAGGGTTTCGGAGGCTGAAAATCTTACGGGAGCAGAAAGCCTCATCTTCCTCTCACAGAATGCCTGGTGGATTCAAACTACTGATCTTGCAGTTATCAAACCCAATTCATAACCCACTACGCTACCAGGACTCCTGAACACTGTATGGTTGATGGGTGTGTGTCACTGAGTCAGTTCTGACTCACACTGACCCTGTATAAGGTTTTGGAGGCTGCAAATCTTTACAGGAGCAGAAAACATCAACTTTCTCCTGAGAAGCCACTGGTGGATTCGAATTGCTGACTTTGCAGTTAGCAGCCCCACACATAATCCACCACACTACCAGAGCTTCTACACCCTAGTTGTTGGTGTTGTGAAGTGCCATCGAGTCGGTTCCGACCCATAGCGACCCTGAACAGGGTTTCTGAGGCTGTGAATCTTTACGGGAGCAGAAAGCCTCATCTTTCTTCCCGCGGAGCAGCTGGTAGTTTCAAACTGCTGACCTTGAGGTTCGCAGCCCGATTCGTAACCACTACGCTACCAGAGTTCCTTAGAGGACTGAAAAAAAGGAAAATCCGTTAAGAAGCTCTTTCCTGAAAGGATAAGATCTCATTGTAAACACAAGAACATAAAACTGAAAATGTAGGTAAAACACTGATAATGGTTCTCATACAAAAACCTAGTCAGTAGTTACTTTAGGACACAAGATAGTGACAAACTGGCACTCTGGTACCTCAAAGCCACCAAATGACCTTGAACTTAGACAAGCCAAACAAATGTTTACATGGCAAGTCTAAAAGGACAAGGGGTGATACCCAGCAGTTCTTGGGTACAGAGACAAATCAGACTCCACAGAAACAGTCCATGGTCCCAGTACATTCAGCGGCAGCACTTCAATCCTTGCAGGTGCAGGTTAAATTAGGATCACTGTGAGCAGCCTGTCCACCCACCTACCCGCCCTTGTTGCTCAATCATGTCAGACAGTACTTCTGAGATCAGAGTCAAGTGAAAGCATCCTGTTAAGCTAGACTGATTTTCCTAGGGGAAGGTCACATAACTGGGGAAGTATTTTTGGCCAAAAAAATTAAGTGTTGAGTCAGTCATAAATATGTCTAAATGTACCACAGAGTTGGTATAATTGTTGTTGTTAAGTGCCGCCGGGTCACTTCCAACTCAGGTTGTTGTTGTTAAGTGCCATCAAGTCAGTTCCGACCCATAGCAACCCTGTACAGGGTTTCCGAGGCTGTAAATCTTTACGGGCGCAGAACGACTCATCTTTCTCCCACAGAGCAGCTGGTAGTTTCCAACTGCTGACCTTGTGGTTCACAGCCCGATTCATAACCACTACACTACCAGAGCTCCAACTCATAGCAACTCTTCCAAGGAGTGGCTGGTGGATTTGAACTGTTGACCTTGTGGTTCGCAGTCCAGTGCTGATCCTATAGTGCCACACCATGGGTCCAAAGATGTAATTATCAGTATTTTAATCCCTTAAGAATACAGTTGGTTCCATGCAAATATAGCTCATGCAAGCACTTCACTTTTCTGTATAAAGACACAGTGGGGGGAAAAAGCTACCACAAAATTTGCAAAAAAAACCTGACTGATATATGAGGGTAAATCACTAAGTATTGCTACCAGAGTTTCAGTTCATACCTGGGTTTATTCCAAGCAAAACACGTCTCTGTGACCAATGGGTGGTTGTACAAAAATTCTCTCAGTAATACATGTCTTAGTCGCATTTGAGGGGACCTACCAGGCCAGTTAACTTCAAAGCAGAGAGAGCTCAAAAGGTTACGGAACACACAGGGTAGACACAGATGGGCAAT